TTATTATTATTATTATTATTATTATTATTATTATTATTATTATTATTTCGAGACAGGGTTTCTTTGTAGTCTTGGCTGTCCTGGACTCACTTTGTAGACCAGAATGGCCTTGAACTCACAAAGATCCACCTGCCTCTGCCTCCTGAGGATTACAGTCGTTCACTACTATGCCTGTTTCTAAGAGAGAGTCTTGCTATGTAGCCCAGCCTGGCCCTGAACTCATGGCAGTCCTCCTGCCTTAGCCTTTTGAGAGCTGGGAATACAGGCTGAAGCCAGTACACCTGGTCAGGAAAGGCTCTTGAGCAGCTGGGCAACAGGATGTCTGTCCTGGCGCCTGGGCTATTGAGCGGGAAGTTAGCAGTGCTGTAGAGCTGTGCTGGGGCGACACCTTGGGGCATCTTGCCATCGCCCCAGCTCAGGCCAGCCAGTGACTTCCAGGGAGAGTCTGGGTTGGGTTGTGCTGGAAGATAGCACTTCCTGCAGGGCTCACATGACAGTGTCTTCCGTGCAGGTGTGACAGGACAGGCGGTTGACACTGTCAAACCCCGTGTCCTCAGAATCCTGGAGGCAGAAGCTCAAGCACCTGGGTTCAAAGGACTGGCACAGGGGTGTGTGGGACAAAGAACCTAGAACCAACCACTTTCCCAGCACTGGGGAGGCAGAGGCAGGAGGATCTCTGAGTTTGAGACCAGTCTGGTCTGCAGAGCAAGTTCCAGGACAGCCAGGGCTATGTAAGAGAGACCCTACCTCAAAAACCCAAACAAGCAAAATCCTCAAAACAAGAATCAAGCTTTTGGGGACTGTGCATGCTTGTGTTCTTTAGCTCACAGACCTATGCCCTCGGGTGGTTCTGATCCCCTCTCTCAGGATTCACTACCCGCTGCCCCTCCCGTACCAGGGCAAGCCGGACCCCGTGGTCCTGCAGGGCATCATCCGCTCGCTGAAGGAGGAGCTGGGTCGACTTCGGGGTCTGGATGGCGGCCAGGACACTCGTGACACGCGGGAGACAGAGCTCTGGCACCTGAGGGAGCAGTGAGTCTGGGCTCTGTGTGGTGGGTTGGGATGTGGTGGACAGACCCGGTCCAGCATATGCCTTCTGGGGAACATTGGCCTTCTTTCTTCTGAGCCCCACCTCTCTCTGCCTTTTGTTGGGTGCTGGGGATTCAGCAGTGATTGACAGCTCTGGTTCGGCCTTCCTGGGCCTCCAGGCCAGTGAGGGAGATGCAGTGAGGGAGATGGGCTGGGAGGAGGTCCCAGAAAGAGGAACATCTTCAGCAAAGGTGATGTAAGGGCTGGAAGGACAGGCTGAGTGGTCCTCACCCTAGCTTCCTGGGGCTGCCTGGGGTGCCTCCCAGTGCCTCATGAGCATGGTACTGCATGTGGTGGGAGGAGAGGAGGCAGAAAGGGAGCTTTGATCAGGAGTTGAGTTAGGTGGGGTTAGGGAAGAGTGCTGAGACTCAGCATGCCTGAGGTAGGTCGGACTGGGGTGAGAGCAGGCAGGATTGGAGGCTTCTGGCATACTTACTGACTCCTGCTGGTTCTGTCCTCTGTGGGCAAGGATTTGGTCTCTGCCTGGAGGTGGCCAGTTCTTTGAGGATTAGTTACACTGAAAAATTAAGTATTATCATTGTGTGTATAATATGCATGATGTGTGTGTGTGTGTTTGGGTACACATACCATGACATGTGTGTGAAGTCTGTTCTCCCCTTCCGCATTTCCATGGCTTCCAGTTCACACTCATGTTGCCAGGCATGCATCTTGGAGTGGCAGGCACCCTCACACCCTCTCATCCATCTTGCTGCCCCCACCCCCCTTTGAGTCTCATGTATCTGAGACTGGCCTCCAACTGTCTATGTAGTCAGGGATGACTTTGAATTCCTGACTCTCTTGCCTCCTAGCCTGGTGTCCTTGGGCTTATAGGCATGGGTTATCAGGCCTGGTTTATGTAGTGCTGGTGATCGAACCTAAAGTATCATGTGTGCTAGCCAGCCAAGTCACCTGTGTGAGGGTATGTGCACATGTGTGTACCCACAGAAACCAGAAAGTGCTTATCCTCACAGCAGCCCTGGGAGACTGACATTGCTGTCATCGCCAGAAGTCCAGAGATGTTAGGGGACTTGCCCAGGGCACACAGCAAATTATGTGGCCAGGCTGTGCCTTGGATGCAGCCAGCACTTCTGCACTGTTTTAGGTGCCAGCCCAGACTGAGTGCCAAATTCTGCTAGAGAGGAACGGCCGTCTCTCGGGGGAGGGAGTACACCGGGTAGCAGGACCCATGGGTGCTGCTGGGCAGAGGCAGAGGGACCTTGGGAGGCTGAGGAACTTAGCCTCCATCCATGCTGATCCATGCGTCTGTGTGTCTCCCAGATTGGCCACAAGGTGGCGACCTCTGTTCACCCACAGACCTGGTGTGTGGGCCTTGAAATCTCTGAGCTGCTGGTGGCTCCCATCAGCTTCTACCTGCCTTCACCTGGAGGCAGGAGCTTGCTGCACAGACCAGGCTCACCTTGTTCTGTTGACCTCCTCCCTCTGTTCCAAGTACATGTGTCACCTCTTCTCCATGGGGAACTCCACGGAGGGAAGTTGCCCCACAGGGTGGTGATTCAGGCAGAAAGCAGAGGCCACTCTGACGTGCCCCCAAGCTTGTGTGTGTGTGTGTGTGCGCCTAACTAAAACAAACCAAAAACTATTTTTTCCAGTTAGGTAGCTGACCTCCTGTCTCTGCCTCCCAAGTGCTGAAATTATAGATGAATGCCATCATGTTTTACTTGTCCTGTTCCCCTTCTTCCATCCTTGTCTGAGGCAGGGTTTCTCTGTAGCCCTGGCTGGCCTGGAACTTCCTTTGTAGACCAAGCTGTTCTTGAACTCAGATACCTGTCTGTCTCTGCCTCCCAAGTGGTGTGATAAAAGGGATTCCCTACCATGTTTTGCCAGTTCTTGAGATGCTGCCTAGATTGATGTGTTATCAGGGGATGCTCTAATTCCATAATACTTCAAGCTGTTGTTGGCTGTGGTGAGTGTTTTCATGGCATGTCCCATGAGAACGTTCTCCTGTTTTCCTCAGGAGAGGTGTGATCAGTGCTGAGTCTTTCCTTTCGCTTACCTCTGACAGAACATTGAGTTTGTTCTCATCCTCTACAGACATGTAGCTTAAAATACTGGAGTAGGTTGCTGAGCGTGGTGGCACACCTTTAATCCCAGCACTTGGGAGGCAAAGGCAGGCGGATCTCTGAGTTTGAGGCCAGCCTGGTCTACAGAGCAAGTGCTAGGATAGCCAGGGCTACACAGAGAAACCTTGTCTTGAAAACAAAACAAAACAAAAGCCCCCCCTCCCCAATCAAAACCAAGCAACAATAACAAGAAAACATTGGCGTGGGTCAGTGAGATGGCCCACCCTGTGAAGCTGCTTGTCACCAAACCTGCTGACCTGAGCCCCCACCCCTGGGACCCATGTGGTGGAGGGGTTGCTTTCCGGCCCCCACACGACTATATAGCATGTGTGTCTATGTGCATACCCACAAGTAAATAAATGCAATAAAAAGAAAAGCTACTGGAAGTGTATTCTGTCTCCCTCTGGAGGCTGGTGTCTGAAATGGTGTTCTCAGTGTAGGCTTGGGGGGGCACCCTCCTGCAGGCCCTTGGGAGAAGCCCCTTCTTACCTCTCTAGCACCTGGCGGTGGCAGCTGTTCTTTGGCTTGTGTCCTTGCACTCAAGTCTGGGCCTCGGTGCCACATCCCCCTCCCATCTTCTGTGTCTCTCATCTCAGGTTGTGATCCATCCTGATAATTTATCCTTGACAGAATCCTTTGATCTCACTGTCCCATATCAGATCTGCAAAAGCCACTTTTTGCCAAATAGTTGAACATTCACATGTTCCAGGAGAAGGCCACAGATATCTTTGGGCATGTATTCAGCTCACAGATGCGAGCTAATCTATTCATTGCAGTAGGTTTTACTGTCATGTTGGCGTTGCCTTTGGCAGATGGAACTTTTGGGTTCCAAACTCAGCATATCATGTTGGGTTCTACGTTCTTGTGAAAGGGCCCCACTAATCTTTTCTGTTTTGTTTTCTAAGTGCCAGACACAGGACCTGGTGCTTGTGCATGCTAGACAAGTGTTTTACCACTGAGCTATGCCCTCACTGGGGGATTCTAGGCAGGGGCTCTACCACTGAGCCACGTCCCCAGGCCCTCCTGGAACTGTGGGGTGTGTGTATGTGGGATTTCTATGCAGGTGTTTTACCACTATTTTTCCAAGATGTTGCATTTCTTTTATTAGGAGGTAATGTTAGCATGATCTGGTATATATGTTAGTGGAAAGAGCCAAAAGACAGATACATTTTTAGAAAGACAAAATAATGTCTGTTCTTTCCCCTTGATTTTATGTCCTGTTTTCTCTGATGCTAAAAAAAATTGTAGTTTCCAAGGATAATAACAATTCTTTTTATAATGATTTATTTTTATTTTACGTACACTGGTGTTTTTCCTGCATGTCTGTGTGAAGGGGTTGGATCCCCTGGAACTGGAGTTACAGACAGTTGTGAGCTGCCATGAGGGTGCTGGGAATTGAACCCAGGTCCTCCAGAAGAGCAGCCAGTGCTCTTAACTGCTGAGCCATCTGTCCAGCCCCAGTAATAATGATTACTTTGTTCCAAATAATACCAATGCAATCACTAATGATACTTCTGAATAAAGGTTAGATTTCTTTTCAGCCTCTTTTGCCTTGAAGCTGTGTATCATACCTGATAAAACCCTGTGATTTAGTCACATCATATAATTCTGCAGCGTTATTCCACCTTTGATATACATTTATGTTTCTTTGAGCCTGCTGACTGTCCCCACTTCGGTGGTAGTTCCTGAGGTAGAAGGATCACTTGAACTCAGAAAATCAACACTAGCCTGGGTAATGTTAGCCGGAGCCTATCTCTAAAGTATTTTCAGTTTCGGAGCCAAAGCTGGACAGCGGGGTGCATGCAGAGAGATCCATTTCTCTATCTGTTCCCCCTATTCCTCCTCTCTCCATAGGCCACGCCTCTGTTTGAAAATTTTAAATATATGAACACATTATTTATCATTTATAACCCTTCCCATTTCTTTTTACAAAGGGGGACTTGGTAAATACATTCTGCACTGTTTAAAATAGTGAAAATCGGCCCTCGTCCCTTTTCATGGATGCACTGCACGATGGACACAGAGAGATTCAGCTAGTTCTGCCCTTGGACACTTGGTTACCTTTGCTCCTTGCTTTTCATAGCAGCAGGAATGAAAAGCCTTGTATATGTGGCATTTTCTTAACGGTCTTTGAACATGGTAGCAACCTAATCATTTGTTTCTGACTGGCAAATAGGCGATCTGGCTGGGAAAGGCTTGGAAGTGGGGGCTTGGAGCGGGGAGTAAAGCCAGTAGCGCTGGACTTGCTGCAGCTGTCTTTTAGCCATGTCCCCTTACTGACCTGTCCCTAGGGCCCGATATGTCTGCATGGAGGGTGGGTGAAGGTGAAGGCCCTTCAGCCTCCTTTGTGCCTCAGTCGGGAGTTGACAGGACCAGACCCCTCCCGGGGGACTGCAGTCCTCCTTCCTGGGGTGCCTTGGGGACTGCCATCTATGGAGCCGCGGGGAGGGGCTCACAGGGTGCTCGCTTCCTCACTCCCGGGCCCTTGCAGGGTGACCCGCCTGGCGTCCGAGAAGCGCGAGCTGGAGGCGCAGCTGGGCCGCTCCCGAGAGGAGGCGCTGGCGGGGCGGGCAGCGCGCCAGGAGGCTGAGACGCTGCGCAGGCTGGTGCGGGAACTGGAGCTGGAGCTGCGGCAGGAGCGCAGCCTCGGGGGCCGGGTTGGCGCCCGCAGCCAGGACTGCCGCCGCCTGGCCAAGGAGGTGAGGGGGCGAAGGCAGGGAGGGGGCCCCGCCACGGACCTCAGCCTGGTCTGGACCGCGGCAGTCTCTGCTTCCCTCCGCAGCTCGAGGAGGTGAAGGCGTCGGAGCGCGGTCTGCGCGCGCGGCTGAAGACGGTCAACAGCGAACTAGCTATGTACCGAAGGGGGTGAGAGGCGGGGCCGGGGCGGGGCCTGGTGAACTGTGGGGCGCCTAGAGAGCGGTGTCGGGCCTGGAGATGGACAGGTCTAAGTGTAGGGGAGAGCTTGAGGGCTGATTGATCGGATCAGTCAGGGAGCTGTTGCCGACCTTGATTGGCATGGGAAAGGCTTCCGGAGAGCTGTGGGAGATGGAAGACCTCGGAAAGAAGGGTCTGGCGAAGGGAAGCGGCAGGTCCTGGACACGGACTTGAGGGTACAGGAAAGAACGCGTGAGCCGGGGTGGGAATATTTGGGAAGGTAGAAGGTGGGCTAGCGGGTGGGAAGCTGACATCCCCCTGCGTGCTCCCAGGAGACGCGCCCTGCCAGCGCCGGCTCCGGCCCGGGAGGACCGAGCCTCGTCGTCCCGGGAGCGCTCCACGTCTCGTGGCCGCGCGGCCACTCGATCCTCGTCGCGGGAGAGCTGCCGTGGGGCCCGGGGTCGGGGCCGGCTGGCGCGCCCCTCGCCCTCCCCCACAGGTCTGTGACTGCCCTGCCAGCCATGGGGAGGCGGGATGGTCTAGGGCCGACAAGTGCAAGCAAGCGAGCCAGCCTCCTCCCCACACTGTCTAGGTGGCCGTGCGCCCCGTTTTGACCCCACAGCCTTTGTGAAAGCAAAGGAGAAGAAGCAGAGAGAGATCAAGATGAAGTAAGGCGGCGCCTGTTTACCACCCCTGCTGTGCCTCCTCCTCCTCCCACCTCTCGCCAACCCGCAGCTAAGCCTTGTTTCCCCCTAACTTCTCCGTGCTCCCACTTCTTTCCCCGCTCTACCTCTTCTCCAGGCGCCGTACTGACCTAACCTCTCCTCCCCTGGTCCCGCCTCCTCACCTCGTCCCTGTTCCCCTACGCATCCCCACTCAGCCCCTCACGTGGCCCGCCTCCTCTTGACCTCGGGCGGCCCTCCCAACCCCTCGGGTGCATGCTTGTTTTCACCACCCTCAGCTCTCCCCACGTGACCTCTGGCGGGCCACTGGCTCTGGCTGTGGCCGGTTCCCGTCCAGCCAGTAGTCAATGCACACTACTAGTCTCTGGTTTTCTAGGCAGCAGCAGCAGAGGAACCGAATGGGCAGTGGAGGAAGCGGGGACGGTCCTTCTGTCTCATGGTCTCACCAGACGCGGCCCGCTGTTGCTGTGACAGGCCGAGGGGACGCTGCCAACCGCTCTCGGAACCGCAGCTCTTCCGGTAACTGGCTAGGACAGGCTTCGTAGCTGCACAGGCGGTAGGCGGGCCCGTGGCCCCTGGGCATCATGCTCTTTGTCTCCCCCTAGTGGAGAGTTTCCGCAGCCGCTGCTCGTCGGTCAGCTCCTGCAGCGAGATGGAGGATTTCTCCCAGTCGGTTTCCAGAAGGTAAAGCTTGGAGAAGGATACTCTGGAAAGGGCCTCTTGGGAGAGCGAAAGCAATCTTTTGCAGGGCAATTAGGTGACGGAAACTGAAGTTCTTAAAACCATGAAGTGGGTCAGAGGGAGGTACCAAAGACGCTCTATGTCCTTGATTACCCTCTTTTCCCAGGCGTCCCAGCCGAGGCCGAAGGAAACCACCGAGCCCCACACCTTGGAGCGGGTCCAAGACGGTGAGGATCATTCCCAGGTTGGGGGATGGGAAGGGTAGTATTAAACCACAGGAAACCAGCCATCCTCTGTGTTCTATCATTCTCTTGTCTTGGGGGCACCAGGTTGTAGAGGGGACTCTAGATTGACTCTTGAAGCAGAGTGTATGGGGCCCCTGGTCCTGGTAGCCAAAATTTAGTGGCGTGGTATGTTGCTTTAAGATTTGGACTGCCGGTGTAGCTCAGTTGGTAGAATGGCCATCTGGAACAAGGCCCCGGGTTCCATATAAACTGGGTGTGGTGACATTGACAGGCCTGTCAGCTCAGCACTCAGGAGGTGGAGGCAGGAGGATCCAAAGTTTAAAACCAGCCTCAGCTACAGAGTGAGTTTGAGGCCAGCTTGGGCTACATAAGACCATGTGTCAAAAATAAAAATAAAAAAAAAAAAAGGAAAAAGATTCTTCCCTTAAATGGTGCCAGGTCCTCAAACCTGCCCCCTCCTCCCAGTGTGTGACTGAGGGTGCTTGGCTGGCCTCCCTGTGCCTCAGGCTTTGCCAGTTTACCCTCTGGAGGGCTCTTGTATCAGAAGGAGGCTCTTGACACAGTGGTGACCTGCACATACTCAGACTCATAACTACCAATGGGACTTGGGGGATAGGAGTAGAAGGGAGTTGCCTGACTCCTTTCCTGCCTTTCTTGTCACCAGAAGTCTGCCACCAGGGAACACAAAAATCACCAGAGAAACCTGGCCAGTTCTGACGGCTGGGTCCCCATCAAAGGTGAGCCCGGGGTCCCATATCTGTTTCTGCTGTTCCCCCCCACCTCATCCCAGAACTCTTTGGGGTGATAACAAGAGCAGTTCTGCATACCCACAATCACCTCTGCTTTCACAGAGTACAGCTCCGATTACCAGGGAGCTGACATGGCTGAAATAGATGCCCGCCTGAAGGCTTTGCAAGAGTACATGAACCGGCTGGACACACGGTCATGACCCTGGAGAGGTGGCACCCCGATTTCCCATCCTACCTGTGGAGGCAGCTCCCCTCCTGTGCTCCCCACTTCCAGGTGTGCGAGGGCCCGACTCCCCCACCTTCTCCCAGTAATGCATTCTAGGGGAAGAAGGTTTGTGTATTTTGTAAATAAATATGATTGTTTTTGGAACCCCTTAGCTTATGATTCAGGGGTAGGAGTGGAGTGAGCAGAAGTGAGGTTGGGGCTGATAATTGGCAGTGAAAGTGTGTCTGGCCTGTCTGGGACCACTGGCAGGTGGGCAGTGGGAGCCGTGTGTCTCCAGAGGAGTCCAGGCAAGCTTGGACATGCCCGGCTGTGTGAAAGGGGGGCGGTGGCGGCATGGCCCACATTGTCTGGTTCTTTTGAGCTGCTATGGGTGACACTGGGGCCTGCCTCGTGTTGATTCCTGGGCTCTCGCCTGAGGCCTCTGAGTTCTAAGCTGCGATGTTGCTCCTGAGCCATGCTCTCTGGGGTCTTACTCAGCATTGGGCCTTTGGGTTCTGCTCACCAGTGAGGGTGGTGTGAGCAGCAGGAATGGCCATAGCATGTGGGAGAGATCATGAGAGGGTCATGTGTCACCAGAGCTACATAGGAGCATGGTTGGTGCTACATCTTTATTAGTGGGTTCACTGGGCCGATAGATGGGGTGGGAAAGGGAGCAGGTGGCAGGAGGACTTTCAGGGTGGTGGCTCTGCAAGGTCTCAAGGTCTCACTCTCGGTAGTGTGCCCAGCCTCGGATAAGATCATAGAGCTGGTTGCCTGGAGAGAGTGTTTTCTGCACGTCCCGGTGTCCTTTGACCTCATAGTTGGATCTCAGGAAGCCCTGAGACACCCCACATTCCAGAAGATTCTGGGCAGCACGGAGGGCCCGCCTTGGGGGTAGCCGATCTACAAGGGAAGGGGCAAGGTACAGAAAGTTAGATTGGGGCTTTTTTGAAGGGCTGTGAATTGAGGAATGTGGATAAGCTGTCCCCTGCTCAGTTTTCTTCATCCATGAGAAGAAAATCAGGCACCCACCCTTAGGGCTGTGGGAGATAAAGAGTTAACATTGCCAAGTCACAAGAGGGGCCCTAGCATAAGGGACCCTCAGCCAGCATTGCCTGTCAGGATTGTTGCTTGGCCCTGGCCCTTCTCTGTCCACACAAGTAGCTGTCACCTATCAAACACATCTTAGGTGGAATTAACTGGTTGATTAGAGACAGGTCCCTAGCCCAGGCTGGCCCTGGGTAGCTGAAAAGGATCAACTTGAACTAATCTTGCCACCATCTCCCAGTGCTGAAACTAAAGTGTGCACCGTGTGATTTGAGCCCAGGGCCTGTGCATGGCTAGGCGTGTACTCTACGGACTGAGCTGTAGCCGCTACCCTGTTTTGCTTGCTTTATTTATTTTTGTTTTTTTTGAGACGCGGTTTCTGTGTGTAGCCTTGGCCTTCCTGGACTCCTTTTGTAGACCAGGCTAGTCTCAAACTCACAGGCCTGCCTCTGCCTCCCCGAGTGCTGGGAGTACAAGCATGTGCCTGGCTAGCTGCGACTATGCTTTATTTTATTGAGACAGGGGGGCAAACTCAAGTCTTTCCACCTGAGGAGTGCTGGGATTACAGCTGTATATTGCTGTGCTTGGCTTTTTGTTTTTTCCCTAATTCAGTGCAGATCAGCTACTCCCAACATAGGGTCAAAATGAACCCGTTATCCAAAGGAAAAAAAATGAGGTGTAGGACTTGTACTATTAGGCTTCGAGCTTATAGGTGGCAGAGCCCGTAGCCCTTTCCCCAGCGCCACCCCTAGCCCAAAACGCTGAGCACTTACCCATGTAGTTGCCCATGAAGGTGATGCCGATAGATAAGGGGTTCCAGGTGGGCCCTGTGTGGTCACCCTTGATGCTCCAGCCTCGGCCTTCATAGACATGACCATCCTCTCCAATGAGGAAGCTGTGAAGGAGGGGTGGAGCTTGATGAGGTTAGGAGGGCCTTCGACATCCTTCACTCATTTTCTACACTGTTAAGGCAACCTTGGTTGCCTCTGTTTCTTGCCAAGCATCTTCATAGCAATTGGTCCTCCATTTCACATAGAATCAGAGAGGTCCAAGGTCACACAGAAATCCTATGTTTTAATTTATTTTATTTTTTTTTAGATTTGTTTATTATGTATACAATGTGCTGTATGCACACCAGAAGAGGGCACCAGGTAGTTGGGAACCACCACGTGGTTGCTGGGAATTGAACCCAGGACCTCTGGAAGCACAGCCAGTGCTTTTAACTTCTGAGCCATCTTTCCAGCCCAGAAATCCCATTGTTGACCACACAACAAACCACTGTGTGTTTAAGGTTGGGATTCATTGTTTCCTCCTGTCTCCGCATGCCTGTGAGCTCACCTCCTCCCCTATCAGTCCCCTGAGGTTGGAACTGCTGCCCTCCCACAGGCTAAGCTTACAGTCAGGGACCCACTAAGTCACAGCCTCAGAGGCCCTGCCCCTCGTGAGTCTCTCCCCTTGGGCCGATGGCTCATCCAGTAAAGGCCCTTTGCCAAGCTGAGTTCTATTCCTGGGACCAACATGGTGACAAGAGCAAACTGACTGACTCCTGCAGGTTGCCCTCTGACCTCCACACAAGGATCATGCCATGTGCTTGCCTAATAAGCAAGTATAAAAAAAAGTCTTCAAAGAAGTTTCTGTAAAAGTAACTTTCATTTGCCTATTGTAATTGTCTCTTGGAGGCTTACTGTCTTCATCTGCTAACATGCCTAGTCCTGGAAGCTTTTAGCCTCTGTGCAATCTAATCTAGACCTAGAATCTTTTTCAGCCTCTCAGACTTACTGCTGAATAAGCTCATCCTTTCTTGTTTTTTCTGAACTCTATCTGGCTGGTTCAACTTACGAGCTTTTCTAGGTCAAACTCCTCTCCAAGTTGGCTTATTCAAACTGGCTTCTTTCAGCTTCTCTGAATTGCTTTACTTGGCCTCAGACTAACTCCAGCAATGTGTTCTGATCCTTTGCTCTTCACATTCTCTGGCTCATCTGTCTTCACCTACATCTAGCTTGTTCTCTCTTCAACTCCTGGTAAAACTGCCTTCTATTCATTGAAATTAGTTGCCACAAACTCAGCTCCAGTGCACTGCCTCTCAACTCACTGATTCAGCCAAACTACCTGAACAGAACTGACGAGAACTCAAGAGATCTGCACGCTTCTGTCTCCTGAGTTCTGGGATTAAAGATGTGTACCACCATGCCTGGACCTGAGCTTTTCTCTATTTGGACCTGGCCCTATACAGGCTGGCCTGGGGCTCAGGTCTGCTTGCCTTTGTCTCCTGGCTGAAAGGTGTGTCTGTGTTCCAGCCAGACCAGGGTAGCCATGGTGCTACCACAAGTTTGTTCTTGGTCCAGCCTGCCGTGGCTCTTGGGGTCCTCTCAGGCGTTAGGATCATGGATTCAGGGATGGAGGTTACAGTAGTTGATCTATGAATTCCACTCATTGACCAAGCCTCAACTGAGAAAAAATGTCCTGCCCCCCCCACCCCAGGGGGGCCACCTTGGAGCTAGACCAGCAGCCTGGAGTTGGATGATGGAGGATTCAGCTCTGCAATGCTGATGAAGCAGAGGATGCCGGAGCTTGGAATCCAAGCCCCTGCCTGCCACTCAGAAAAGCCAGCTCACAGCCTGCCTCAAGGAGACTGGATAAAGATAGGGACATGGGAACCTAGTGCCAGGCTCAATGGGCCTGGTGGCCTGGCAAGGTGTGGGTCTTTATGAAGGAGTCTCTTATGGAAGAATAGGTGTGTGAGGAAGAGCCTGTCTCCAGCACAGGGTCAAAAGCCCTGTCACTTTAGGGAGATCCCAGATCCGCCAGCAGCAAGGATAGAAGGGGAGCCTGCATGCCCTTTCATTGTGATGCTTTAACATTCACAGCACCTGGCCTAGGGGGAGGCACTGTGGGATTTTCCAGGGATGCTTGTAAACCTCAGCCACCATCATGACATGGCATAGTCAAGAGCTTCAGATAGGGGCTGAAGAACTAACTCAGTCGTTAAGGGTGCTTACTGCTCTTGCAGAAGACCTGGGTTCGATTTCCAGGACCCACGTGGTGGCTCGCAACTTGTAATTCAACCTTAAGGGGATCCGGTGCCCTCTTCTAACCTAAGGGTTTTTACACACACACACACACACAGTGTACAAACATACACTGAGATGCATGTGTACACACGCATACACACACACAGAGGGAGAGAGAGACACCAAACCCAAACCTCCTCTTACAGGTAAGAATGGAGAGGCTCGTAGAATGTGACTGTGCTTCTCTCTAAGAGTGTGGCCCACTTCAGTCTTCCCTGCTCCCCACCTCAAACCTGGGAAGCAACTCTTATGTTGGAGCCGTAGAATGATTAAAATTCCAGGTGGAAAGGCCTGAGGACACCCTCCAGGCTTCTGGCCCTCTGTGTTTGGCAGAGCAGTCAGGTGGACTGGGAGCCAGTATTTCCAGGAAATCCTGCAGGCAATTTGGCTCTCAGTTCAGCCTTAGAAGTCACAGGGTTCAGATGTTTCTTTTGGAAACAGGCCCAGGTATGGCACCCCAGCCCGCAACACTGAAAAGCAGCAGCGGCAACGGGTGTCTGTGTCTGTGGGGGTCCATCTGAGAAGTCCCCAGCTCCCCTGTGGTCAGCCAGAGGGAGCTTGCTAACACCTGGGCCAGTCTATGTACCCTGCCCCCCACCTTCTGTGGCTACTGTTTGACCTCTCTCCTCACCATGACCTTTCCTCTGCCCCTTCTAGAGCCATAACAAAGCCACAGGATCTGGCTTCTGTCACCCTCACCTATCCTGGCCCCATCCCCTTTGGGAGATAAGATCTTGCTATGAAACCCAGGGTGGCCTTGAACTCACAGCAATCCTCTTTCCTCAGCCTTCAGCTGCCAGGATTACAGGCTTGGATACCAGGCCAGCACAGCCAGGCTCTCTCTCTCTCAAAGTGTGTGTGAGTGTGGCTGTGTGTGTGCATGTATGGGCGTCAGGGCAGCTCAGTCATCAGTTCTCTCCTACTGGGGTTAGGACCTGGGTTGTTGGACTTGCCGAGCCACCCAGAAGTCCTTTTTCTGTGGATTCTTCTTCTATCACGAGCCCCTCCTTTTATGTCCTTACGCACCTAGGGATGGGTACGGTGCTATGTCCCGAGCCATGTCCCCATCTGGAACTCTGGCACACGGGAGACAGTAGCCCAGAGGTTCGGGGCCCCTGCCGTGTGCTAGCCAGTTACCCGTGTGTTTGGTATTAGGGCCCATAAGCCTCTTGGCTCTTGCCGAAGAGGGAGCTGAGCCCTGGGCATCCATTTCCCCTGTGGAGTCCCCCTGCCTTGCCTCAGGCAGCAATACGCCCACTGGTGGCAGGATGCGCAAGGCCCAGTCGGCCTGGTGTGGGCCTGGCAAGATCTGGGCCTCTAGGAAAGGATTTCCCTGTGAAAGTAGAGTCGGGGGTGGGCACCCGTGCCATGCGAAGCAGAGCCCGGCCCCTCTCAGAGGGGAGAAAGCCCCAGCCCCCACGGGAGACAGCAGACCTAGCACCAGGGGGCCTCCTCCAGCCCAGCGTACTCACTTGTAGGCCACGTCACACCAGCCCAGCGAGCTCATGTGGTAATGCTGCACATTGCGAGCCTGCTGCTCACAGGAGGCCGGGCTGGTGCAGATGCTGCCTGCTGTGTGCGAGATCACCACGTAGCGGACTGGTTGCTGCAGGGTCTTGGAGCACTCAGATGGCAGGGCCTCCCACTCGCTGCGGGGCACGACGAAGCTGCAGGGGGCTGCCAACCCCAGGAGGGCAAGGAGAGCCCAGGCGAACAGCATGCTGGACATGGCGGACAGGGCTGTCAGAGCTGCGTCCCAATCAGGCCCTGGGCTTGTGGACTTTTATCTTCTGTGCCGGGTGGGAAGTGGTGATGAAAGGCTTGCTTCATATCTAGGCAGGACTTCCCGGCAGCCCTCGTCACAGAGTACCCTAACTCAGCTTCCTCCTTTGTGTGGCATTCATCAGGAAGGGCACAAAGCTTGGGGTGTGGTTGTTTTCTAGAATTTCCAAGGCTTAGATCTCAATGAGAGCATTGAGTAACCTACCAGGAACTTGCATAGATGAGGGGCCTAGGACTTTGGCACAAACTTCCTTCCCGCAGGTGGGACTAACAGAGGCTCCTTTAAAAAAATGTGTGTCTTCATAAGGGTGTCATGTAGCTTGGGATGACTTTGAACTCACTATGTAGCCAAAGATGACCTTCAGCTCCGAATCCTCTTGTACGAGGCCACCTCCACTCCGTTGCAGATCCCCTTGAGTCCAAGTCTGAAGATGCTTGTCTGTATACTTAGCAGGAGGAAAATGGGCTTGGAGCCTGGAAGCCACTCCTGGAGAAATGGCAGACACTAGTGCTTCTTGTCTAGAGTTGAGTCCAAGCCAGGCTGCCTGCATCTGAACTTGTGGCATTTGACTCTGTGAGCCCACACTGATGACTTAACCTCTCTGTGCCCATTTCTCTGACCGCAGTATGGAGACCCCACAGAGTTGACCAGGAATCACATGAATGGACTGGGTTTTGTCCCTTGGATATCTGGCACATGAGTGTCATTTGAGTGTCATCTCGACTCACTTAGGTGAGCTCCTGTCTGTGGTGTGGGTGACCATAGCAGTTCTGTTCTGGAGAGAAGTGACTCTGAATGCCAGAGGCTCACAGGGCTGTGACCTTCATTCAGGTCACGTAGAGAGCTTTCCAAGTGCTCCTGTTCCCTTGCTACTCCACAGCTCATGGGAAATCAGGGCAGATTGCCTGCCTGCCTTGTTTTCTTTGCTTTCCCTTTAAATGGTTTTGGGTTTTCCTCCCTTGGAGCCTCTCTCATTCTCCAGGGATCTTTCTGAGTTTTCTTCGATAAACCTGTTTGCTATACTCAAAAATAAATTAAATAAATAAGACGTTTCTTGTTGTGCTCCAGTTGGAACTCAGGGCCTGTGCATGGAAGGTAAGTACTTTAAATGAGCCATGCTTCAGCCCCTCACTGGGGAGTTCTAGGCAGGGGGTCTACCACTGAGCCATACCCGCAGCTCCTTATTGGGGAATTCTAGGCAGGAATTCTACCACTGAGCCACACGCCATCCCCTCACTGGAGGATTCTAGGCAGGGGCTCTACTACTGAGACATGCTCTTAAGTTCTGCTTTGTAATCTTAAAGCAAAGGTTCCAGTTCCATGGATTTCTCGAGGTTTTTCTCATTGGCACTTCTCCTGGGTCCCCGTGGGAGCAGAAGTACACCACACACATGTTCAGTGTGTTCTGGTGTAGCAAGAAGATAAGTGTTTTGGGGTGATCAGACACAGCTAGCACACGCTGCCAGGAATGGTGGGACATTTGGAATTCACTGTAAGGGTCTGATAAGTGACTAAAGAATATTGTTAATGTTGAGGATGACTTGGTCAGAGGCCTGGTCTGAGCTTGGGACTCACAGGGCCAGAATAGATGTGCTGGGAGGCCACTGAAGAGAGAACAACATCCAGGTGGAGGGAGGAAGTGCAAGGTGGAGGGAATAGAAATGTTAACAGAAATGGTTCTGTGAGTAAGATAATGTTAAGATGGAGAGATGGCTCAGTGCTCAAGAGCACTGGCTGCTCTTTCAGAGGACCTGGGTGCTCCCAGCACCCATGTCAGGCCCTCACAACTGACTGTAATTCCAGCACCGGGGGATCTGACAGTCTCTTCTGGTCTCTTAATCGCTTGCACTCATGTGCAAGACACACACACACACACACACACACACACACACACACACACACACACA